CTATCAGGAACAGTACTGACGATCTATCAGGAGCGGAATTTTCGATTTTTCCATTTATTTTTTTTCCGTAATAACCGGTTTCATTCGATGTCGATCTTTATTTCTCGGAGTTATCCAAAAAACGACCCAAGCTTTCAGATTCCATGTTATGCAAAACGAAAAATCAACTTTGCGTGGCCTAAAGGATGGTTATAAGGTAGTACTGTAATTATGAATTATGGGTAACCTAAAGATCAGGTTCTAATTTTTTTTTTGTTTATTTTTGTTTTAAATACAAAAGCTTTTTTACAACAAAAATAGTTTTTTTTATAACTATATTCTTTCTAAAAGTAATTGCCAAGATATCTACAGTTTATCAAACTAATCTTCAAGAAATTCATTATCATAAACTTTACAAATATTGTAAAGATCTATTTTTACTATCTATAATAAATTAAATTAAAAAAAAAATGGTGTTGATATTTGGTAAATATATTCCGTATAACTATAAAAATATATGTAATTTGTTTAGATAAAGATTTATTAATAAATTTTTAAGAGATTAAGTTTAGTATGGCTTGTCATTTTTATGATGTAATTGTCGAACTTCAGTTGACTGAAGTTGCACCTGACTGAAATTAGCCCCTGAAATTAGATCATCCTGCACGCTGTTTTAGGCAGGTGCCAACTTCAAGTCGACTGAAGTTCCAACTTTAGTCGGATCCAAGTAGAATCGTCCCAATGGCAGTCCAATGATAGTTGTCACATGGCTGTAACTTGCCGTAAACTATAGTAAGTAATATTATATTGCTTACTATAGTTACGGCAAGTTACAGCGATGTGACAACTATCATTGGACTGCCATTGGGACGATTCTACTGCATCACTAGTCACGACATAATCATGTTTATTCAAATCAAAACTTCGTCTTATAAGTTTTTTCAGTGTTACGATGTAACCATGTTTATTCAAATTCAAACTCCGCAGATAACTCCAATCATGGTCAATACTGTCGAATACGTTATCAAATTACCGTTATTGCATATATGTTGCAAGTTCGAACGGAATTTAAGTGGATTTGGAATTTCAGGGTTAGGGTATAGGTTTATATATAAGATCAATTCCTAAAAATAATGCAGTATCTTTTTACACCTATTCAAAAAATGTAAAAATCAGAAATAGGCTTGATAAAATCTTAAGCACCATTTATTATTTTTTGCATTCTAACGTAAAAAAATCTTTCAAAAGTTTTGCAAATCTTAATTGTAATCATGTTACGAGTTGGTCAAATCGATTAATTGGCAACTTAGTTGCACAGGTTTTTAGTAAATTTGATTGGCTTGACAAATTGTCTCGTGTTTATTTTTATTGTACTACCGCTACATTAACTAATTCGATTGGTTAAATAAAATTTAATTTTTCGATTTTTACTATATACAGTACGTAGTTGGTTTTTCAACTAACAATTTGGATGATTTGGATCACTAAATTGTAATACAAAATTATATTTGAAAGCTTGAAATTTTTATTTTTTTTTAACATAGATTAATAAGCAATGCCAATTATTGTAATCAAATAAAATTTACATAAATTTCTAAAACAAATTATTAAAATCCGGAATATCTTCTATATCTACCCATAAATCAACATGATTTTTAAATAGTACCTGCGAAATAATTTGTTTAGGTAAGAATTGTTTACCTTTAGAATCAAGTGATGTTTTTATTACAAACATTTTTCCTTCAGGTGCACCCATTGTAAATACAGATTTAATAAGATCATCAAATGTCATATCCAAAGTAATATGTATATTGCTTTTAAAAGGTGACATTTTTTTTGTATGAAGAGTAATCGTGCTTAGTGCTGCTTCTTTTGCTAAATTGGTACTAGTATCTTCCTTCTATACAATTAATCAGTTAATAAATTAATTTGACAATAAATTTTCATTCTAATGTTATATCAACAATACCGAATTTAATTACCTTATTAACTTCTTGAGAGTCTTGTGAAATATTGTCATGTTGGTAAATTGGTAATCGAAAGTTTGATGTTGCATTATTGGATTCAGAAGTAGAAATTGGTATTGAAGATTGTGAATCTTTAGATAAGAATGGTGTTGAGGTTGGTATTGGCTTTTTTAATTTAGAAGTATAGTCTGGTGATGAAATTCCAGAGGTAAAATTTGGTATTGAAAACGGAGAAGGATTTTTAGACCCAGGAATAAAAGTTGGTGTTGATAATGGAGGTGAATTTTTAAAGGCTGATTGTGAATTTGCGAAACCAGAAGTAACGTTTGATTGTGGATTTGTAAATATAGAAGTAAATGCTGGATTTGTATTTGTAAACACAGAAGTAACGTTTGATTGTGGATTTGTAAATATAGAAGCAAAAGCTGGATTTGTATTTGTAGACCCAGAAGTAAAAGCTGGATTTGTATTTATAGACCCAGAAGTAAAAGCTGGATTTGTATTTGTAGACCAAGGAGTAAAGGTTGATTGTGAATTTGCGAAACCAGAAGTAACGTTTGATGGTGGATTTGTAAATCTAGAAGTAAAAGCTGGATTTGTATTTGTAAACCCAGAAGTAGTTGATGGTGGATTTGCAAATCCAGAAGCAAAAGTTGGCTTTGGGTTCGTATATCCAAAACCACGTGTATTCGCTGATATACCTAATCGGGTCATAAAATAGAAATTATTAATAAAGAAAATATTAATAAAGAAATTATTAATAAAGAAATTATTAATAAAGAAATTATTAATAAAGAAATTATTAATAAAGAAATTA